AGGGTTTAGGGTCCAGGGTTCAAGGTTCAGGGTTTAGGGTTCAGGGTTTAGGGTTTAGGGTTTAGGGTGAACTTCTCCCCCTAAGCCCAAAACCCAAAGCCCTAAACCAACAAATTTAAGGATCTTTAGGGTTAGTGTTTAGGGTTCAGGGTTCAGGGGTATGATTTAGGGTTTAGGGTCTTAGGGTTTCTAATCACAGACCAAACATACAATACCGCTAAGAGTTCTCCTATTGGCTGTCTAAGGCTTTTTGGGAGGGTTTTGAAGGGCTGCTTCAGCCGCGCATTGAAAGGGTTCCGTTCAGGATTCCCCTTAACGGGTTTTCCTGGATCCTAAAGAACCTACCGTTTTAGTTTTAGGGTTCCTTATTATGATTTCTTTATACAAGTCCTTAAAAAGGTGGGTTATTTGGGGTTAAGGTTGGGTTTAGGGGCTTAGGGGTTCGAGGGTTCACAGGTTTAGGGTTGAAGGGTTCCTTTCAGGGTTCCGTTTCGGGATCCTTCGAGGGGCTCGTGTTGGCTCCTCCTTCAAGGTTTAGGGTTTAGGGTTTAGGGTTTAGGGTTTAGGTTCAAGGTTTGTGCAAACAGTTGTTTACAGTTTACTGGTTTCAGGCGATACGGCTGTAAGGCTATGGTTTTGTGGTTTTTGAGTTCTAAGGCTCATGGTTTCATAGAGCTTTTTCTGGGCTTTGGGGTTTAGAGTACACTTGCGGCTTCCAGAGTGTGTATCTGACGATGTGTATGTGTGTATACCTACACACAGAAAGCAAACCCTGAACCCTAAACCCTAAGCTGCACATAGATAGCTACTCAAGCACGCCCTTCAACAGAAACAAGAAAGGCCGGATCCCTACACATAGTCACAGTCCTCAGATGGCGAAATAAACAGGCTGAGGAGGACAACTCGGAATCCTAAAGGGCTATTGGCCTTATGAAACTCGCCATAGAGCAGCGTAAAGAATGTTCAAACGCTATAAAGCCATTCGTGTCGAATCCGCTGTGTACCAGTTTGAAAGGATCACATCCCGCTAATGTAGGGGCCTTAATAATTAGAACAGGGTTATGGGGGTTCCTTGTTAAACTTATAGTATAATATACCCCAAACCCTATTCTAATCTTTACGGCCCCTATATTGCATGCCCTTTGAACCCCATACCCTCAACCCTCCTATCCCCTAAACCCAACACCCTATATACCTTTAACGGAGGAAAGAACCGTTTATATACCCTTTGAAAGGACCGGAACCCGTTAATTAGCTTTGTGATAAGCTTAATTCCCCAATAAGCCAGGGAAATGAAAGGTTACACTTTCAGGTTGCTATTAAAGCATAAGAACCCAAAAAGTTTACAGGTTGGGTATTGGGGAACAACTAGACCCAGGAGTAACCTAGGAATGAAAAGGGTGCCCTTTTTGGTTTTAAGGGGATTATATTGGAGCCCCAACACTAAAAAATGAAATAAGGGCCTACTCCGGGTCCTGGACAAAGTAAGGGCCAGAAGGCCTAAACCCTAAACCCTAAACCCTAAACCCTAAACCCTAAACCCTAAACCGCCAGAAGGCAAGACCACGGCGCGACGCCATGGAGCGGCGGCGATCGCGGAGGTGCGGCTTTGGAGGCTCGGGAAGCTGACGCTGAGCCATGCCGGCATGCAATGAGGGGTTGGTTTAGGGTTTAGGGTTTAGGGTTTAGGGGTTTAGGGGTTTAGGATGGTTTAGGGTTTAGGGTTTAGGGTTCAGGGTTTACGGTTTGGGGGTTTAGGGGTTTGGGGTTTAGGGTTTAGGGTTTAGGGGTTTAAGCTTTAGGGTTTATAGGGTCTCGGGCTAAGGGGCTGTGGAGTCAGAGTTTGGGGTCTTAGGAGTGTAGAGCTTAGCGTTTGAGGCTTAAGTTTTGATTAGAGGAATTTCGTAAGAAGCTGTAAAGGTTTGAGGGGTCCGAAAGCGGGTTTTCTAAAGGGTTTTCTGAGAGGCTTTCATGGGGTCTCCAAAAGATTTAAAGGGTGGTTTGGGGTTTTGGGTTTAGGGGTTGTGCATGTTTCATTTAATTAGGGCCTAATCAAGGTTTTACAAGCCTTACAGTCTTCTATCACCCCAAACCCGAAACCCGAAAATCCCTCAACTCTCCACCCCAAACCCAAGCCCTAAACCCCGAAGGATATTTCCACAATGAAAGTCGCTTCAGGGTTTAGGCTGTTTTGGTGGCTCTGGGCTGATGTCTTGGCCGTTCGAACTCAATGGCCATCGGCGGAAGTGCGGAACAGAATGGGACCTTTTCGCCGTTTGGGGCTTACAGGGCTTGATGGGTCGGCGCTTAGAGGATTTAGGGTTTAGGGCTTACTGTTTAGGGTTTAGGGTTTACGGTTTTGGGTTTACGGTTTTGGGTTCACGGTTTAGGGTTTAGGGTTCAGGGTTTAGGGTTGCCCCAAAACCAAAACACTGTACGAGGCCAGACATTTTGACAACGTGAGAGCAGCTGACAAGACGAATGTGGGATGCTGCGTGATGAGCAATCTCGGTACCTAGACCCTCGAAAGTGAGACCACTTTGGGGCTGACCTATTCGCTAGTTCCGATCCTATATTGTAGCTAAGGCAACCGAAGGAAGGTACTAGATTCTCACCCTAAACCCCTAAGCCCTAAATCCCTAAGCCTAAAAGCCCCTAAACCCGAAGCCCTAAACCCTTAAACACCCTAAACCCTAGAAATCCTAAAACCTGAAACCCTAAACCCCTAAACTTTGAAACCACTAAACCCCTAAACCCTAAACCCCAAAGCCTTACACCATTGAAGCAAATTTTTGCGGGTCTCGGTAGAAGTGGGAGACGGCAAAGCCTTGAAAACCTGGGCCTGGCCCTGCGGGTTTAGGGTTTAGGGTTTAGGGTTTAGGGACAGGACGTTGCACTACGGTTGATGATATCAATCCTGCACTATCTTATTCCTTATTGCTCTAGGACTCTAAGGACTCATATGTTAAAGGCTTTTGGGCCCAAAGACCCTATGATATAAGGCTTTTGGGCTATTTTGATGCCAAGGGATACTACCCTGCCTGCGCCCCTAAACCCTCAGTGCTGAGCCCTCAAGCCTAAACACCACCCCTACATCCGAAGGCCTATAGACCCTTTCCGGCGGCGTTAAGCCCTAAACCCGAAATAGCCCTCAACACCAAGTCCTACAGTACCTAAAACCAGGCCCTGAACCACAAACCATAATGCAGGGGCCTTAATAATTAGAATTAGGGTTTTGGGGGATATTATACTATAGCTGTGATAAGGACCCCCCCAAAAAAAATATTTTAAAAAAAACCTACATTAATTAAGCACCCCTAGACCCGAAACAGCCCTAAACCCCAAGTCCTACAATTCCTAACTCCCCTGAACCCCAAACCATCAGCACCCTAGGGATTCCTGGAAAAACCACCCCCCAAAACAGTACAGGTAATTA